ACTGCCTCCCCTGATTTGAAGAATAGGGTCACTTCGACACTGACGACCACCAAAGATCCGAAAACATCTCTAAGGAAGATTCAAAGTAAGACGAACATCCATAGTAACGTATGTCGGTCAAAGTCTTGTGATACTGTAAGAAGTCCATCTAGACCCCCTTGTTCAAGGAGGAGCCCTTCGGAAGAAAGTCTTTCTACAAGCCGACCTCTCACCAGAACCTTTGGAAGCGAGAAAAAGAAATTCGATCTAAGAATACAAACTCCAAAGATTGCCAAATCTCCTGATCTGTTATCTCCTACAGAAGTGAAAAAAGCCGTACAAAGTCAAACAAAATCATTTAATCCGACGTACAAAAGATCTACCGCAGTACTTGCTTCTTCGAAAACTAGCAAAGAAAAAGAATTCATTCCAATCAAGGTTGGAATTACAGACAAAGCTAGAAGTGTTCTCAGAAGTAGTCAACCTCCATCTCCAAAGTTAACTAGAGCATCGCCTTGTCCTTCAAGTTCATCTGACAGGTCAAAGGTAGACGTTAGTTCTCAGAAACTACCTAAGAGGCTACCAGCTAAGGTGAAGGGTAGACTAAAGGAGGACAAAAGAACTTTAAAATCACGAAAAGAGCAAGTTAATGACGATATTTTGAAAAAAGATCGCGACAAGATCAAGTCAAAAAAGGATAAAGCAATTGACAGAACCAGAAAATGCGTTGGTAAGGCAGAAGGTACTGAAATTGTCAAGCATCTAAATATCTTTAAGAAAAAGGAACAAGAGACTCCTACATTGAAAGAAATCAAAGAACAAAAGGAAGCTATGGAAACCAACCACTTCTTCCGGCATCTTTTTTTGAGAAACATATCTCCTACACCTTCAACAATCAGCAAAGGTACATGGATAATTGAAAAAACAAACCAGCTTCAGAGGAGACGTTCTTCTTTCTCAGAGCCATCTATCGGAGCCATGAAAATTTACCTCAAACACACAAAACCTGTTTCTGATTCTAAGTTTGTCAGCCTAGATGCACACTTCAGATCTAGATCAGCTAGTCCAAAGTCTGTTACCTTCGACACCAGTAGCAACCTAAAGGACGTCGCAAAACGAAGCTCGAGTCTTCCTCCAAAGCTATTCTTCTCTCAAACCAGCAGGCCTGTATCTCCAGTTGTCCAGCATAAAAAACTAGTCTCACCTCCTCCATCTCCAAAGCTTTCCAGGTCACCTTCATCAAGGAAAATCATGCAACTTAAAGCCGACAAGAAACCACAAGACTATGGCTTGTATATGTGTCCTAGTTTGAATCAAAGTACTACATCTTTAGATTCTCTGAAGAGCGAGGACTATCAAAGATTTTTCAATGATTTTATGGCCGTTAGCAAAAAAAGTGACAGGTTCAAAGAGTTGAGTCAATTCTATTCTGAAATAGAAAAAGTTGGGAGGCTAGAGAAAGCGTTCTATCTCAAACCTAGGAAGAAATCTGAATTCGAAATTATAGACTTTGATAGATGGATGGAAGTGAGAACAAGAGAAAAAGCTGAACAAGAACTGGATATGTTGTACAATCGGATTCGAGAAGAAGAAAGGGAAAAAGGATTTCTGTACCTACCCAAAGATGTTAACAAGTTTAGATGGAGGAAAGAATGTGATAGAGGACTACGGATTAAGGAAAAGTCTGTGGAAGACATCAGAGAAGAATTTGAGAGAATCAAGCACGAAGAAGCAGAAAGGGAATATTCTAGGAGGGAGGTGACATTTCCTAAAGACACATACAAAACATTGTGGAGAGGCAGTTCTGTTACCAATTTAGCACATACTATGGTAGAGCGTAGATCTCAATCTGAAGGAAGAGTCAAAAGTGCCAGACAAAGGCTTCTTGATGAAGAACGACTTTTGGATCACGGCATTGGTAGCAGAATATGGAGCAGCCTGTCCATAGAGCAAGTCAACATCCTGAAAGCGCAGCTAGCTGACATTTTTAATGGCCACGTCCCTCCAAAACCCAGGCAAGATTACTCGGTGCAGGTACCAGATGATACCAAACGAATACATGTTCCTACATTGACTGTACGAAGAAATTCTGATTCATCAGAGCAGTTTTATACACGAAGCATGCCCGGCATGTCTGAAGATGATAAAAAGAAAATTTCTCAAACATTAAGTAGAGAACTCTTGGACAAAATCGCACATAAGCGCAGAGCTGACAAGAAAGCTCTGCCATTGGTTGCTCCAAAAGAAACTTTGGGAGCAGTCGCTGCTGCAGGGGCCAATGTCAAAACCATTTCGAAAAAGGAAGAACCTCCAAAAGCGCTGGTCAAAACGAATGCTTTGACCAATGGCAAAACCTCTTCTGAAACAGAGAGTGGCAGTACAGATGACAGCACCAAAACCGTAATATGCGTTGGAAAAGCTGACGACATAAAGAAAAAAGTTGAATATTTCGAAAAAGTGAAAGACCTAGAGCCTTATACACCAACAATATACACTGCAGGAGATGAAGAAATAGATGAAATAGAAACTGGACAGAAGGAAGATGAACCGAAGATATTTCAATCCAAATCTTGCCAAAGTATGAAAGAGTACTTTGGAGAAAGTGATCTGGTTAAATATGCCACAGTACCTTCGGTCAGAAAACACAAAACACCTTCAAAGAGTCTTGAGGTCAGATCAACAGAGATAAGTCCCATCAGATCAGAAGTCTCGATGGGCTCTGGAGTTAGTAATGATAGTATCTACCGGTCTGAATCGCCTTATGAGGCAGAAAGGCAAGCCTTGGAAAAATCTGGAGAAGTCAACAGACTAAAAAAGAAATTTGAGTACTGGGAAGATATGTATGGTAACATTACCTTAAAACGATCTAGGAGCGAGTCTGATATTAACAAATTCTTCCCCATAGCTAATTTTGGATACGTAGATAGCTTGAGAAGGAAATATGAATATCCAGCTTACTCTGGAAGAGGTAGAAGCAGAACACGGAAAGGCGGAGTAGTTTCTCCAATTTTTCTCAAAGCTGAAGACCGTTTCATGCCTCATATCAATATTATCAGCAAAATAGCTAGTTTATACGCAAAACAAAATTCAAAGAGTGAGAAGGAACGTCAAAGAAGCATAGCTGAACTGGCTGACATCTTAGGGTGTCCCATCGGCGAAGTAGAGAAGCTACGTGAGAAGTTTGACAGCATGGAAGACATATCTCTAGTAGGCCATATGTACACGTCTTCTCCAAGTATCAGAGAGTTGAAGGATATAGCGCCCTATCTAGCAGCAGATTGGACGTCGCACAGGTGGCCTAGGTTCGAAGACAATACGAGATCCCTTTCCTCTCCGGAGGCCTCGGTAGCCTCAAGGGACACATCCTTGGTCCGCAGAGATCGTACCAGGCCCAAGTCCACCTCCCCAGCTCCAAAACCCAGGAAACCTCCTTCTCCTATCCTGAAACAGCCGCAGAAGAAATCTCGGTCTACGGATTTTAGGCAAAATCAGAAGTACGATCCGAAGATGCACGAGCCAGTCGCCCGGTACCAGCCGATCGACGTACCAAGGTACAGACACGGGTGGAGTGGTGTTGCCAAACCGACTGTTTCGTTTAAAGGTGTCGTATATAGGTTAATGGAGCACACGCACATCTTTGGACGTTCACATGATGAAGTGGTGAAGCCAACCTTAGTACTCGTTGGGGTATACGGTGCTTTTGAGAAAGGTCCTAATTTTTTTTTGAACGGGTCAAGTTAGCAAGATAAAATTTGTGGTGGTGAAATGAATAATATATTTTGGCATAAAGACAACAAAAAAAATTAAAGTTTAAAGATGAAAGCTAGGCGCCATCTTGTAACAATTTTCGAAATGGAACGGTACGTAATGTGATACCTGATTTTGATGCTCCGCGTACTTAATCTAATCATATTAGACGAAAATACCCCTGGTTTGCGAAATAATTGTATAGTCTGGTTTTATTGCTGCAGGTTGCTCAAGGGGTTATTTGAAACATGGTCGCATAAAATGGGTACACCAATTTTTTGGGAAAACTTTTTATTCGACAAGAAAGAATGAGTAAATGTGTTTTTTGGAATTCAATCGAAAGTGTTGGCAGGAACAAAAAAATCATCATACGAGATTTTTAGGTATTTATGAGACCTACAAAACGACACCACACGTAAAAAGTTTCGACTAATAGCAAAAAAGTTATTGCCGAAAACCGAGGCAAGCTGCAGGTTTTGGAACTGGCATTGTTGGTAATGCGACGATGGTTTCTCGCAGATGCTTGAAATTCTTCAAATTTGTAGGATTCGTACTTCTAAATAACAACAAAATTGGCGTAGATTGGTCAAGTAGTTTTTGAGAATTTCTAATTGTTTATCCCAAAACACCTGTTTTCCGGCCATCACTACTAGTTTATTGAACAATATGCAGAGTTAGTTCAAAAGGCATCTTATAGCAAAATACACTAGTTTACCTTGCCGATATGAATCGCAAACCATTCCGGAAGATACATGTTATTTTCATGCAAAATGAATGGGTTACGTTTTATCTTCTAAACAAATTCAAACATTTCGTATTTGTGAATAATTCTCAACAAAAGATGATAGGCACATCCGCTTTTTTTTAAAAACGTGTATAGTAAAGTATGTTTTTCGAATATCGTAGCGCATGTTTAATTACTCACAAATAGGAAATGTTTGAATTTGTTTAGAAGAAAAAATCGCAATTTTCGTTTTTCGCATAAAAATAACATTTAGCTTTCGGAATGGTTTGTGATTCATATAGGCAAGGTAAACACGTGTATTATGCTATTAAGTGTTCTTTGAACGAACCCTGTATATTGCTCAATAAACTAGTAGTGATGGCCGGAAAACAGGTGTTTTGGGATAAACAATTAGAAATTCTCAAAAAACTACTTGACCAATACGGGGGATGTCCTTTAAGTTTTGCATATGGAAATAAAACAACACGATAGGTAGTTTTAAATGACTTTATTGTTTTTCAAAGTATTCTCCACGAAGATTGATACACAGCTACATGCGCTCGAACCAATTTTCGAAGCACTTATTCCAGTCGTTTGCTGGCAGATCCAAAACGGCATTTTTGAATGCGTCAACTATTTCTTCTGGTGACTGGAACCTTTGACCACGCAGTCTGTTTATAATTTTCGGGAAAGTAAATAAATCGTTAGGACTTAGATCGAAACTATATGGAGGATGGTCCAATAATTCCACGTTTTCTTCCGTTAAATACTGCCTTGTTTTTTGGGCCGTGTGCGAGCTTTCATTGTCTTGGTGGAAGATGATTCTTCTTTCGGGGTTGATTTTTCGAAGCTCGGTGATGACTTTTGGCAAACAAATGGTGGTATACCAATCCGCAGTAACAGTTCTTTGCTCATTAAGACGAATTGTTGCAATATGACCCGCTTTTGACACTAATGTCGCGACCACCTTTTTCGAAACACTGCGAGAACGGATGACTTTTGTTGGCTTTTTATCACCTTGGAACACCCAAACAGCCGGCGTCGTTTATTTTCTGGTTCATAACACTAAATCCTCGATTCATCACCACTAACAATGCTGTACATATTTTTGAGTTTCCGGAATTTAAACGGTCAAGCATTTTTTGACATCAATTAACCCTGGCTGCTTTCTGCTCTTCAATCAACAGGTGGGGTATCCAACGAGAAACTAATTTTCTTACTCCTAATTCTTCATGTAAAATTTTTTGAATTGAGGTCTTTGAGATCTTCAAGGACGCCTCAATCTCGCGATATGTCACATGCCTATCTTCGATGATGAGTTTGCGCACAGCATCGACGTTTTCCTGGGTGACTGCCGTTTTTGGTGCACCCACCCTGGGATCGTCGTTTGAATTCTCCATACCAACGAGAAATTGTCGACTGATGTGGCGCTTCGTTGCCGAAAACTGACAGTAACTCAGCGATACATTCTTGTTGTGATAATTGTCTCTGAAAGTTGTAATAAATTATGGCGCGAAAATGTTCTCGGTTTAGTTCCATTTTTCTAATGACTTGGTGACACTTAAAAATTCACTGTAGTAAGAACACTGCACGTATTGTTGTGAAACTTTGAATTTAAGTTTAGTAAAGAGTGAGGTTAAGATTCAGTACTGACGTTCGATCCGCGCGGCATACTATGTTTCTATATGCAAAACTTAAAAGACATCCCTCGTATACTCCAATTTTGTTGTTGTTATTTAGAAGTATGATTCCTACGGATTTGAGGAATTTCATGTACGTAGTCGTGCCATAAGTTCTGTCCCATGATAATCTCATGATAAAAATGAAACAAGATAAGATATATTTATATGAAAGATATTATTTATTCGACAACATTTTTAGAATTCATAATCAAACAGTTTTATTCAAAATGTCCCCCCTTGGCCTTCACACACTGCTTCAATCTCGCGGGCCACTCATCTATCACTGCACGCACAGCTTCCAAAGGAATAGCTGCCGCTGATCGGATCAAATCCGCTTTCAGGGACTCGATATTACGGTGGGCTTTGGAGCAGGCCAACTGCTCTAGCAGGTCCCACAACTTGTAGTCTAAAGGATTGAGGTCCGGACTCCCTGAGGGCCAATCTTCCGCAGCAATGAACTCTGGCACATTGCTTTCCAGCCAGCGCTGCGTACTCTTAGCCTTGTGAGCGGGGGCGGAATCCTGCTGGTAGACCCAGTGTTGGTTGGCAAACAATGTACCACTTAAAGGCTTGACGATAGGATCCAGTATGTCGCTCTGATAGTTTGCCGCTTTTGTTTTCACGCCCTGTTTACAGAAATGGAGCTGAGTGACCCCTTCGTAGGACACCCCCCACCAAACCATGACTGACGCAGGGTGGTGGCCTCTCTCAACTCTCGGAATGATCTCCGAAGCTTCCTGTGAACTCCTTGCATACACTTTGTCATTTTGTCGGTTGAATTTTTCTTCTATGGTGAAGATTTTCTCATCCGTGAACAAAATCTTTCGGAATCCCCCAGCTGCGTACCTCTCCAAGAGCTTCTTGGATCTTGTCGCCCTGATGTGTCGCAAGGTGGCCGTAAGTCGCTGGCCCGTACGTCTCCGGTAAGCCCCTAGCCCTAGGTCTTGTTTAATGATGCGCAACATCGTCCGGACAGGAATCTTCATTTCCCTGGATAGGATCCTCTGCTTCCGGAGTGGATTCCTTTGAATCCTGGCTTTTACGGCTTTGATGGCTGCTGGAGTCCTTACTTGACGAGGTCTTCCGCTTCTTGGCCTCTCATCAACAGAGGACGTCTCATTGTACCGCTGAATGGTCCTAGACACAAATTTACGCGATATTTGAAGGCCGCGTAAGAGTTCAAAAATCTGACTAGCACTGTGATTACACTTATGTAAAGCTATCACTGCAATACGGTTCTCTGCCTTGCCCCACTCCATCGTTATGCTTCGAGAGATCAATACAAACTGAGGTATATGTAATTACCCGAAAAGCGCTTAATCAACTGACACCACAATGTAAACAATCGGACAAGTATTAACAGGTCTACACTTGTTTGAAAACGAGGGACAGAACTTATGGCATGACTACGTAGTTGTGTGAAGTTATCGTCGCATTACCACCAAGTGCAAAAATCTGCATTAGTCGGATCTTTTTACGTGTGGTTTCATTTTGAAGGTCTCTAAAATACCTAAAAATATTATGCGAAAAGTTTTTTCCTTCCTATCAACACTTTCGATCGGTTTCCAAAAGACCCGTTTTCTTATGCTTTGTTGTTAAATAAAAAGTTTTCCCACAAAAATTGATGTACCCATTTTATGCATCCATGTTTTAAATACCCCCTGGAACAACTTGCATCAGTAAAACCGCAATTATTTGCTATGATTAGACTAACTGTGTACGTTATAGACATAAAATATAAAATCCTCATCTTTCAAAAAGGTGAACTGGCGGACTGTCTAAGTTAAGGCTCAACTAACTCAACAACTAATCATCAAAACATTCGGTACGGTATATCAATCTTCTTCTTTTGACAAGATCTGAGTAATAAAATATGAGACATTCAGTTAAAAAAATATTTGACTGATTTTTACAATTTTTTCAGAGAAATGGTTTCATATTCTATTCCATATTCGGATACACCACTCCACGAAAAACAATTTTATATAACATACTATAGCGTCTTCCTGAAAGGTGGTGAATTTACATTCTAGGGTTATAAGATGGCGCTCAACCGCCATCTTAAAATTTTTAACTTACTCTTTTACGATAAATATAATATGCAGAAACATAACGATAGTAATTCTTTTAAATAGTAATAACGCACATAATTTAGGCTATTATGTATTGTTATCAATATTCGCATTTAGGATCACATCACATCAGTAATGGTGTAAAATGAGCAACCGACATCACGTCTATGTGCTATAAGGAAGGCGTAATATCGGCTGTATGAAAATGTTAACTTTAAATCGATATATTATATTTTGGGGATGTTACATGTTTCATATACACCACGAAAAAGCATATCACCTTCCGAAGCTTCATTTCCGATGTTTTCGGGCTTCTCATCATTATTGGGCGGTTAAACGAATTTTTGGAGAAATCAAAATTGTTTTAAGATATCCTAAGCTCCGTTCTTCGACTTTAATTTGTTTCTGATCGCTTTTGAACAAAATCAGGTCAGGTAAATGATAGATCAATAAAGGAATGGGTTGACATCACCATATTGTCGCACAAAATGTAGGAAAGTAGTTCAAGTGCATCCATATTAAGCTTGCTGCTTCATTTTAATCACGCTAAAGCAAAGAGGGTGCCGGTTAACACAAGAAACTTATAACATATTTTATAGCCTTTGCATAAGTACTTTTACAATTTTGAGAAAACGGATAACATGCATCACATAGATATTCGAATTTTCAAGATAAAAATATTCGAAGAATCACTTCAAATCGCAAACTTATGTCCGTCAGGTCTTTATCATTTAAAGCTTTGTATAACAGTTGATCTGACAAGTATATACGATGTCTGTAAGTTACGTGATGAGACTGATACAATTGCAATTTTATATTGTCATCCTCAAGATACTGGAATAGCCTTCAGCTGGTCGGTTACAGCCGTTTCACTGTTTTAGACTGTCAAAAAATGAGTTCCCTTAAGGTAATTTTTCAACTTCGGGAATAGAAAAAAGTCACAAGGACTCAAGTCAAGCGAATAAGGAGGCTGAGGAGCCACAGGAATATTTTTACTTGTTTATTGATATTGCTATGTGACAAGGAGTGTTATAGTGTTGCCACACCCAGTTGTTATTTACCTGATGAACGGTGGTATGAGTCAAATTTAACTCTTCCCCGATCATTCAGACTATCAACCGACGATCTCAACACACAAGATCCCGGATTCTGTCGATATTTTCATGACTCCTTGAAGGCCTTCCGCTTCGTGGTTCACCTTCAATCGACTCAATCCCTTCTGAAAATGCCTCAAACCACCGAAAAATCTAGGCTCTTCACAAAACAGTATCTTCGTAAACCTGTTCAGCAATAGTTTCCGTTGCACTGTACCAAAGTATGAAGCAAAACCTAAAAGCACACCGTTGCTCGAAATTGATGTCACTGATTTTTAGAAAACAATAAAAATCGCTACTGACAACCAAAGCACTCATGCGAATTAAAACTTGTACTGAAGGCGGATCACATGTTTCCCCGCCCCCCTCCAAGCACAGCACCTCCACTGTTGCCAGATCGAACGCTAGGTTGCGATTTTCATCACATAGTTTACAGACCTCGTATTATCTCCAACAATAGCTTATTGTTGAAAGATTTCTACAATCCGAAGAGTGCCTTTTGGAAATTTGTGACGTCATATGACACCTTCAATATCTGCACTATATTGATGGTATATAAATTGAATGTGTGCATGTTATTGAATTTGACATACCCACCCTCTACACATATTGGACAAGTTATATATTGGTTTCTTATAATTTGTGGATATGTGTTTGTTAGTGGCACTACAACATGGTATATTTTACGTATTTAGAGCCAGAACCGCCTTTACCACCACCAAAAGGATTGCGCATCGACAGTATGGAAGCAGGTATTTATAATAATGCATGTTTAATTGACATTTAATATCAATCGGTCACTAGCGTTTTTAACTTCCACACAAACAAGGAAATGAAATATTATAACAGCAGCTTTAGATTGCATTCATATCTACTTGTTCTTAATACAACGATTTATCGTTTTTTCTGAATGATTCTGATCACGCTTGAACATCTTGCTAAAAATATTTGTTTTGATCTGAGTTCATTCAATCAGCAGATTAATAATTTGGAATTTTTGATACAGTGACTGACTGATATTTTCGATCTTTTACTAATAATCATTAATGGAGAACCATTCTTGGTAGTGTGTTTCTAAATACCCTGTATAAAAGAAAACAGTTACATATAAAACAATACCATATCCGATGACCAATAATGGCGAAGTCCAAACATGGTTTAAATATTTTGCGGAATTGAATTTTGATTGTTTGTGTTTGATTGCATTAACCCACGCGCTAAGTACAGTCAATGCAAGTATTTTACCCAGAAATATGCTATACGTCTCCTAAGCTTTTACTTTATTGTTTGATACTGATAAATTATACGATTTATCAAGACTGCAATCTCAGTACTGTCCAAAGACTGATTGGGAACAGGGGTGCCAGCTACCACGGTCCTAGTGTAGACTCCTACATCTTATACAAAGACATGTTGCTATTACAAGGACCTCTAGCTCTCATGACACGCTGCTCCTTCTTTGAGGGCAGCCCGCTCCCCTACTTGGAATCCTTTTGTGCTTCGTATTGAATTTTCCTAAGCAATTGAAAAATGAGTTTTCCAATAGCTTGTTACAAACATGTATGTTTTGATCAATTTTAAACACATCAGCTGTGATTTCGGTGCACCAGAGTTTATGGGCGGAAAATATAAATACAACGTATGGAAGTTCAAAGGGTGACAAACCATTTCTGTCACATTTTTTTGTAATCTTTATGATCAGAGAGTTGATTCATCTCTTCTACTTCACATCGTGTGTTTAAAGCAGAATATTATAGAAAATTTTCTCGGCAGAGGAAGACGTTAAGCTACGGTTACTCACTGACAGTGAAATACTGTGTTTAAGTATAATTGTGGCTAGCTTCTCAATCAACAAATACGTGTTGAAAAAGACGAAACGTGTCATTTTCGAGGTAGACTACATGTTAACAATATCAGGCATGGTCTGTCACGGGTGACGTTCCATGGAAGGGCCCAGTGATGTTAGTTCAAATTCTACATATGTATTTAGCAGTGAAGCACTTGAGTACTTTGTCTACGGAATACAAAAGTCAAGCGAAATACAGATCAAGACATATCCTTTGTATTACCGGCACCCGTATTACATAACTTAAACAGTGACCTTACATCCATGTTTAATGAAGTTGTAGATTTTTTCGAAAAAGTATCGGCTTGGAACTAGCTGCCATTCACTTCATGTTCACTTGTAGTACATGTTGCCTAAACGTCAGGACACTTCATATATATGGTTTCGCCCTGATGTAATGTGACATTTGCTTCAGAGATGGCACTGACAGATGCCATTTACAAGTCCTATGGCCTAAGCTGTAGGTTTTATACTATAGGTGGAAGGAAACACTGTAGCGCATAGTGATAATTAGTGTGATGATGTTTCCGTTGGTTTCTTGTCTCAAATACACTTACTTGATATCTATGCAATGCTAGAAATAAGGTGACTTCTTAACTAGTCACATTTTTTATTAAGGATGTACATCCCAAGCGGATAATAATTCTTACTAACCTCTTGTTCGCAAAGCCTATATATCTGGCCTTATTTGCGATGCTCACAACTTCCAGCGTAGTTTTTGATTAACGAACCCTTTCTATGTAATAGATATACTTCATGGGCAGTGATAATTTGCTCACATAGCATATGTATCGATGATCAAATGTCACATATCACTGATGCTAGCCAGGGAGCAGTGTCTTGAGGTCGCGAAATTATCAAACAATGGTGAATCCATGACCCCTCCATCCCGTGGCAAAGCAATTCGCTCGCTCTCTCTCTCCCTCTCAATTAATGTGAGGAGAGGGCACATACTTTGTCCTTTGCCTCGGAGTACTCGTACACGAAGCTCGCTGCAGATGCGATCTTAATACTCGACCGTATTTTCTCTTGTAACATCCAAAGCAAGTTGGCGAAATGTGCGTTGCACTATCATAGACAACATGGCCGTTGAGATATTCCTTTATAGATGGCACTCACAGCGAGTACGCGCGGAATGGGCTAGCGACTACTTAGTACACACGTTGACATTTTACCAAGTATACCTTTTAATCGATTTTTACATAATATCTCATTGTTTTTGCATTACATATGATTTCGAGAGATCGTAAACAAATTCTACGACACCTCTCATAAAATAATTTCTGATTCCACACCTAGGACGATTCACCGTCCAAATATTGTACGTCACGATTATCCGTTACTAAACTTCCTTCCGCGACTGTACACCCCATTATTAAAACCCATTGTGATCTCGCGCGCCTCGTGGAATAATTAATGAAAAACCAAAGGCGAATCTGGGCAGACTGCTTCGAATCAAGATTCTCAGGTGTTAACGACATTTAGTCATAGTCATTGTTGCAACGGCCTAGCCTTAGGCAATGGCACGCGAATCTTTTATCTCGCAGAAAGACCTTCAACTCAAAGCGGTGTGGGATGCAGTGTTTTTGTTGATTTTGCGTGAATTGTTGCCGAGTTTGTTGTGAGTTCGACGGTAACGGTGACATTGAGTGATCTTTGATATACCTAGCTTGCATTAATGCATTTTTGTTGGATTGTATACAGGGTGTTCCTTAATGATATGCGAATAATCAAGGGTGTGAATCTATATGAAAAATTAATGTTGGTTTACTTTATAAAATATGGTCTAAAAATGTTTCCTTATTATTAATTAATAACTTCAGAACCTCTTCAGATATTTCACTGATATTTAGTACGTAGTGAAAGTTAATAAAGTTGCATATTTTTCAATGCAAAAATAATGTTTAGCTTTAACAGTGGCGTGCGTACGGGTATTGACTTCGATATTTTTTAAGAAAAAATGGTACGCCAATGGTTTTTTGCCAAATAAAAATGATTTTTAAATTCCGCGTTCAATTTAAAACAAATAATCCCTCTTGAATTATTTTCCTTCGATGTGCCATTTTTGAGTAAAAAAATAAAAACCGTTCCATTGTCTAACTTGCAAAATTATTATTAATTAATTTGGAAAAATTAAACACATTAGGGGTAATGAACAACAACAACTGACAACATAAACATAACATTAAAACCAACGAAATGATTACAAAAAATGGCCCCCTTCACTTAGTATGGATGCTTCCGCCCTCCTTCTCATGGAATTGCGCACTCGTTGAAATATCTCTGGAGTGTTTTTTATTCTATCACAAGCTGCAACTATTCTTACTTTTAATTCCTCTACAGTGTTAATGGGACTTGTGTACACTACTGTCTTAAGATAGCCCCACAAAAAGAAATCTAAACTGTTGAGGTCTGGAGACCTTGGTGGCCATTCTTAAGGCACACCGCGGCCAATCCAACGATTTGGATAAACAGTTTGTAAATAATTACGAACCGTTACACTGAAATGCGCTGGTGCACCATCATGCACGTACCACATATTGTTTCTTATTTTTAACGAAACATCATCAAGCAGCAAAGGCAACTGTTGTTGAAGAAAATTGAGGTATGCCCGCGGTTGCCAATAATTCCTGCCCATACGTTAACCGAAAATTGGTGTTGGAAATGGGTTTCGGTTACGGCATAGGGATTTTCTTCTGCCCACAAATGATTATTGTGTAAATTCTGAATGGCATTTCGAGAAAAATTAGCTTCGTACGTGAAAAGAATCATTCATTCAAATTGCGGATTTTCTGTAATTTGTTTAAGATACTACTGACAAAAGGTCACATGCCTTGGAAAATCAATGAGAAGTAATGCCTGTACTCTTAGATATGGTGAGGATATAACAAAAAATCCACTAAAATTCTCCAAACAATTTGATGGCAAATATTTATGTGTCTAGCGATCTTCCTCGTACTCGTTTCAAGATGTTCTTCGACTTCGTGCATCACTGCTTTCTTAATTTCAGGTGTTCTCACACTTGGAGGTCAACTTTCAGATGTTCCTTTTCGGTCATAACCAGTTTCAACGAGGTGACGATGAATATTAGAAAAGGTTCGACTATCTGGCAAAGCACGATCGGGATAGCTCTGGTGATAAATTCGTCTGGCTTGCTCGCCATTACCGTCGGCAAGGCCATATACCTAATGCATTTCCGCCATTTCTGCATTTGAATAATTCACCATTATTAACAAGATTGTAAAAACTAAATAATGAAAAAGATGTCACAGCGAGCAGGTCTGAATAACGGAGACTTGTCAGATGTCAAAGGCCAGTGACATATGGCGCATCAAAGGAAAACAATTCAAGAGAAAACATTAGTTTTAAATTGAACGGGGAATTCAAAAATAATTTTTATTTGGCAAAAAACCGTTGGCTAAAAATTTTTTTCTTAAAAAATATCTAAGTCAATACCCGCCACTGTTAAATCTGAAAATTATTCTTGCATTGAAGAATATGCAACTTTATTAACTTTCACTACGTACTAAATAACAGTCAAATATCTAAAGCGGTTCTGAAAATATTAATTAATTTCCAATTTTTTCCTTAAACTTCAACACCCCGAGTTTTTGTAACGAAACATTTTTGGACCATAGTTTATAAAGGAAACTAACATTAATTTTTCATGAGGATTCACACCCTTAAATATTCGCATATCATTAAGGAACACCCTGTATACTGTTCCCCATGAGAATAAAACATTGATTGATTTTATAAAAAGAAATTATCGGGGACCGATCAAAACTGACAGTTTTACTGCTTTAGAGCGGCAACGTAACGAAGACGTTTGACTGCACGTTTCCTTGATAACTAAGAGAACATTTCTAATCCATTATTTTTTAATCAGACACAGAGCTTATTACT